CCTCTAATCTTTGGCACTTATAATTTGACCTATTTGTGTTGTAAGTGCCGTAAAAATTGTTTAAAGAAAAACAAATGTTTGTACCCCTAGTTTCAGTCTCATACCGGACTTCCGTAGATTGACACCACACTGGGAAATGGTACGAATGCTTTGGATGGGGATAAAAAGGTTTGAATCGGTTCAATAGTGCATGAAGTATTCGTTAATGCCCAGCCTTATTTGGTTACTGGGAAACATTAAAACCGGTCCTCCTGGGCACTACCTCTCAGACGCTTGAACTGTGTGTAAAGATTAACTTTAAGCGGTGCTCTGTTATCTTGGTCTGAGTACATGTAAGTTTTCAATTCTTTACCAACTTGGTAAGGTCCTTTCAAAAATGCAAAGACAATACAGAATTAGGAGTCTTCTGCCTCTTTGATGACTTAACTGTGTTAAAAGTTCTATCGGAGTGAAAGCGAACAGGTTGTCAGTAAGTCAAAATTAGATATATGCGAAATATCAACGCTAAAAGCCAACTGGCCTGTGGATTTAAACACATTAACACCAGACAGAAATAACAGAAAAATATGGCAGGTAGGACACCCTCTGTGACACTTTACAAAGCAAACAGAACAAAAGATTAAAACCAAAACAACAACACAAGTTCATGTTGGGTTACATTTTGTTTGTTCCTTTTATTTTTCAAAGCAAGAATGAAACATCATCAATAATTCAGTATTAAATACACATTATTGTGGACTCATCTGGTACTCAGAAATATCGCCGTGAGCCTGTGTGTGTTTGTGCTCTCTCAGTCCAAGTGGATGGACACTGGACCACCAAGCGCAGCCCTGGCAAAACTTTAAAGTCTGTTCATCAATGACTTTTCTCTCCGCACATCATATGAGTATGTGTGACTTTTCTTGCAGGATTTTTAGACCCAACGACTATCGAGCAAAAGCTTGAGGTGAAGGTCCGTTGAATTTTCCCATGACGTTACACCACACATCCTGGATGAATATGTGTGCTCACTTCGAGGTGGGAGAGCCCCACGGCCGCCGAAAATAGCCCTGAAGACACAGCAGTTCACCGATGACCTCGTCTTCTTCTCCAGAGGTATCTATCAGATGAACCTGCCAAAGACAAAGGATGAATACATAAAAGAAATATTCTTGTTTTCTTGTCACGTTTGATTTGTTTATTGCAAGAGTTCAATAGAGTTAATAAAACAGTAGGCGTGCTGTTGGATCAGTGTAGCGTGGATAACCCTAGTTTGAATCTCCTAACGTGGTTTCTTGGCATATTTAGAGTGTTTTCAAAGTTCTCTTCCCACCTGTTTCAATCTTTTTCTTAAGCTCAGAGTAATTCATCAATTATGATGTCCTGCCTCTTAAAAAAGCTATTTCAACATAAACAATACGGAAAAAAATTGTAGGCCTGCGAAATGACTGAGCGGGAATTGACAAAACGAGGGCGGGAATTGAAAAAACATGGACCTTCACTGATGCTGAAACCTGTGCAACTGGTCGTAACAGGTGTGTTCACAAAAGGCCCCAGCCAGTCAGGGTTGGGGATTTTTTTGATTTTTTAAATAAAAATTTTAAAAATCGATTTTTAAAAATTTACAGCAGATTTTTTAAATTTAAATCGGATTTTTTTTATTTTTTTATTTTTTTTTTAAATGTCGACACAGTTTGGGATTTTTGGTGGCTAAAAGTATGTTCTTTTAGTGCAGAATGCATTGTCTTTATTTTAACTAATGATTAATATAAGCAACTGCGAAAGAAAGCCTTAATCTGCTATTATCAGTGAATTATGGCTACAGACAAAAAATGAAGAAAATGTCAGTCTAAAAGGAAAAGGGGGGGGGGGGGGGGAGGGGGGAGGGTAATTATGCATAGATAGAAAGGAATTCTAAATGTCAAAAGACGTAAAAACAATACATTTTTTAAAAGTGATTTAAATCACTGAGCTTTACTTTTAAAATCAAGTTGATATAAATTTAAAAAATCAACGGATTTAAATCGACCTGATTTAAATCAAACCAACCCTGGTTTTCAATTATGAAAGGAAAGAAAATTGAATACCGTATTATTTTACATTGACAGGGGGGGGGGAGCAGACTTTTAAGCATGATTATATTAGTCTACTAAACAGTATATCTGTTAAATAAAACAAAGGAAATGAATTCTGAATGTTTAAATATGTAAAAACAGAATACATTTTTAAAAAAGTGATTTAAATAACAAAATCAAGTTGATTAAAATAAAAAAAATCAACTGATTTAAATCAACCGAGCTCTGATTTCAATTATGGGAAGAAAAAAAGTAAATTGAATACTGTATTCTTTTACAGTGAAAGGGGGGGAAGCAGACTTTTAAGCATGATTATATTAGTGTACTTAACCTTATATCTGTTTTATGAAACCTAGGAAAGGAATTCTGAATGTTGAAATATTAAAAAACTGAATAAAAATAATTTTTTTAAAAAGTGATGCTGAAACCTGTGCAACTGGTCGTAACAGGTCTGTTCACAAAAGGCCCCAGCCAGTCCGACTGATTGTTACGCCAAGTAGTCCTTATACAACCGGGCGGCGTTTTGCTTCTTGTGTTGTACTATTTTTAGCTGACTAGCTGATTTTCGTTAAGGCTACAGTGGTGTGGTTATTGCACACTTTGAAAGCCATTCTTTAAAAAAAATAACAACCCAAGTATATTTATTTACACACTGCAATCGAACTACAAGCACCCTCTACTCCAGCACTTCCTAAAATAAGACGAATCTTGTCTGCTGTTGGCATACACAAGATCAACATTGCGTCTACCAGAGCACGTGTGTAGAGTTTGTTATATTAAAGTTCAAAACGTCACATAGTATAGCATTTGCAGTTTTAAGAATATTAAAGCTGATAAGAGCACCACTTCGCTAATTTGATAAAATAGTGGTGGACATTTTTCCCCAAATTCAGAATGAAGCGTTTCAGATTTGAATCATGGTCATCCACAGCATAGTTCAGAAAAATGACATCCAACATGACGATGTGGCCAACAAATAGGTAAAGGAATAAACAAAATATATACTGGAAACATAAATAACAATGAAATAACAAGTGACCACCTACCGTCTCAAGGTCACAATTGTAGAAAACGCCTGAAAACTCAGAATTGAACGCAAGTGTCTATGATGAATAAAACACAGAATAGCAAGACGTCTACACACGCTGATAATCAAATCGAGAATGACAAAGAAAATCCAAAAACTACTTGCTCGAGCCTCTCTTTGAAGGTACGCTACTTTGCTGCACGTTTCAAAACACAAAGAAAACTACAATTTTACTTCCTGTCGTCAGCTGATTACGCGCCAATAGTTGGCCCAGGACATTGCCACGCCCCCGAGGCGCACCTCTCGCTCGCCTCTCACCCACTGACCAGGAGGCCGAGACAGACATGTTTTTTGTGGCTTTTTTTTATTTGACATAGAACGACGAACGTTGTTATGCTTTTTAAAAGTTGGGACAAAACCAGACCAAAAGTCTACAGTAGTATTTTTCAATTTTTTTTTTGCAGATTACAAGTGTTATCGTTGGCAGTGACAGCCGTTGATCGAATTGATAATAAGAAAGAAACCAGAAAAATCTACTAGTTCGAGCCCCTCTTTGAAGGTACCCTAATTTGGTGAGCAGTTCGAAACACAAAGGATGACCAAACAAACAAACAAACAAACAAACAAACAAAAACAAACAAAAAAACAAACAAACAAACAAACAAACAAACAAACAAACAAACAAACAAACAAACAAACAATCAAACAAACAAACAAACAAACAAACAAACAAACAAACAAACAAGTATATTATGAGGGAGAAGGGTGCTGTCGACTATAAGTGGATTCCATTAATTCCATGATTAGAGTAATTGTTTCTGGAAAGATAGGAAAAGTTTGTACCCAGGAGGATGGTTGGTGGGTCTCTGGTGGTGTGGTTTGCTCGTACTTTCCTATGAAACATCTCTCCATTTTTATGTTTGTTACTTAATTGTAACACCTCTGATCTTAGGCACTTACAATATAATGACCTATTTGTGTTGCAAGTGCCGTAAAAAATCCGATGTTTGTACCCCTAATTTCAGTCTCATACCGGACATCCGTAGGATCACATTACACTGGGCTATTTTTCGAATGTTCTGGATGTGGATAAAAAGGTTTGAATCTGTTCGATAGTGCATGATGCATTCGTTAATGCCCAGCCTTATTTGGTTACTGAGAAACGTTAACACCGGTCCTCCTGGGCACTACCTCTCAGACGCTTGAACTGTGTGTAAAGATTAACTTTAAGCGGTGCTCTGTTATCTTGGTCTGAGTACATGTAAGTTTTCACTTCTTTACCAACTTGGTAAGGTCCTTTTAAAAATGCAAAGACTTGCCTCTTTGATGACTTAACTGTGCTAAAAGTTCTATCGAAGTGAAAGCTGACAGGTTGCCAGTAAGTAAAGATTAGATCTATGCAAAATATTAACACTAAAGACCAACTGGCCTGTGGCTTTAAACACATTAACACCAGACAGAAATAACAGAAAAATATGGCAGGTAGGACACCCTCTGAGACACTTTACAAAGCAAACAGAACAAAAGATTAAAACCAAAACAACAACACAAGTTCATGTTGGGTTACATTTTGTTTGTTCCTTTTATTTTTCAAAGCAAGAATGAAACAACATCAATAATTCAGTATTAAATACACATTATTGTGGAATCATCTGGTACTCAGAAATATCGCCGTGGGCCTGTGTGTGTTTGTGCTCTCTCAGTCCAAGTGGATGGACCCTGGACCACCAAGCGCAGCCCTGGCAAAACTTTAAAGTCTGTTCATCAATGACTTTTCTCTCCGCACATCATGCGGGTATGTGTGACTTTTCTTGCAGGATCGAGCAAAAGCTTGAAGTGAAGGTCCATTGAAGTTTGCCCATGACTGTACACCACACATCCTGGATGAATATGTGTGCTCACTTCGAGGTGGGAGAGCC